ATTATTATTAGTATTATTATATTTATTATTTTACACTATGATTATTATTACATCTATTATTTTACTCTATTATTACATTTATTATTTTACACTGTTATTACATTTATTATTTTACTCTATTATTATTATTATTATTATTATTATTATTATTATTATTACATTTATTATTTTACTCTATTATTACTGCCATTATTACATTTCCATTATTTTACTTTATTTATTTTTTATTATGTTTCTTATTTTACTCTCATTATTATTGGAAGGATATGTAAGCACATTTACATTGAAGAAGGTTAGAATAATGGTTTAATCAGAGTTGGGCAGTCTTATCTGAAATTACAGTTGAATGTAAATATTTAAGTAACCTACCGATACCTCAATTAATGTAATTGTATTGATATCTATTTTTATTTTGAAATGTACCAGTAGCTGCTGCATTTTCCACCCTTGGCTTATTATTGAGTTAATACGTTTTCACAGTTTTTTTTGTGGTAAAATTAGGTGCCTCGGCTTATATTTGGGTCGGCTTACACTCGAGTATATATGGTAGCAGCAGCAACAACAACAACTCTGAAGTCTCTCCTAGATTTCTGCCAGGACTCTTTCCTAGTTCTACGTGAGGGTCCCAGTTTTTCTCTCTTACTAGTCTCCTATTAAAAGGTGAACCAGGACCAGCACTTTTTAGCTTCCAAAACTGGTCTCGATTAGGTCTAGTTTGGGTTGTAATAATATAGTCTTTCCAGGAATGGTCTGCTGAGTCAGACATTCATCCACCGAAATAAGCCACGGTTGCCAATTCTTGCTGGCAGCAGGAGCCTTCCAGGGTTTCATGCGAGATCCTTATGCAAGATCTTTGGAGATGTGCCTGAGGATTGACCTTGGGGCTTTCTGCATAGGGGTATATATATATGTGTGTGTGTGTGTGTGTGTATCTATATCTATATCTATTACATCTATATCTAGACCAGTGGTTCTCAACCTTCCTAATGATGCAACCCCTTAATATAGTTCCTCATGTTGTGGTGACCCTCAACCATAAAAATAGTTTTGTTACTACTTCACAACTGTTATTTAGCAACAGTTATGAATCGTAATGTAAACATCTGATATGCAGGAAGTATTTTCATTCACTGGACTAAATTTGGCACAAACTCCAAATTTGAATACTGGTGGGGTTGGCAGGGATTGATTTTGTCATTTGGGAGTTGTAGTTGCTGAGATTTATAGTTAATTAATTTATTTTTTATTTATTTCGTATACTTCTACTCCGCCCTTCTCAACCCCCAAGGGGGGACTCAGGGCGGCTTACAAAATGGCACAATTCGATGCCTACACAATAATACAATAAACGTATAAAAACAGCAGTTAAACGGTTAAGCAATTAAAACAACAATATATATCACAGTCAATAGCCAATCTCAAGCACAGCGTTCGCCAACTCAGAGTCCATACTTCGTTCCACATTGTCTATTCCTATCCGTTGTCGCAGTCCTTTATTTATCTGCCAGATTGCCCAAACGCCTGGTCCCACATCCATGTTTTTAATTTCTTTCTGAAGGAAAGGAGGGGTGTCACTGATCTAATTTCCCCCGGGAGTGAATTCCATAGGTGAGGGGCCACCACTGAGAAGGCCCTGCTCCTCGTCCCTGCCAATCTCACTTGTGACAGAGGCGGGGTCGAGAGCAGGGCCTCCCCAGAGGATCTCAAACTCTGAGGTGGGACGTAGAGGGAGATGCGTTTGGACAGATACGCTGGGCCGGAACCGTATAGGGTTTTGCAAGTCAAAACCAGCACTTTGAATTGTGCTCGGAACTGGATCGGCAGCCAGTGGAGGTGACACAACAGGGGGGTGGTATGCTCCCTGTATGACGCTCCGGTGAACAATCTGGCTGCCTCCCGCTGGACTAATTGAAGTTTCCGAACAGTCTTCAAAGGCAACCCCACGTAGAGTGCGTTGCAGTAATCTATCTGGGATGTAACAATCAAAGAGCATTCTGAACTCCACCAATGATGGAATTGAATCAAACTTGACACACAGAACTCCCATGCCCAACAGAAAATACTGGAAGACTTTGATGGACATTAACCTTGAGTTTTGGAGTTGTCATTCACCTACATCCAGAGAGTCCTGTGGACTCAAACAATGATGTATCTCGACCAAACCTGGCATGAATACTCAATATATTCAAATGTGAACACTGGTGGAGTTTGGGGGAAATAGACCTTGACATTTGAAAGTTGTGGTTGCTGAGATTTATAGTTCACCTACAATCAAAGGGCATTCTGCACCCCGCCAACGATAGAATTGGGCCACACATCCCCCCACAGAACCCCATGACCAATAGAAAATATTGTGTTTTCTGGTGGTCTTTGGTGATGCCTCTTGACACCCCCTGGCAACCCCTCCCAGGGGTCCTGACCCGCAGGTTGAGAAACGCTGAGCTAGACTGAGTGACATTCGTTACCCATTTGAACTAATGCTGCCCATTCCGATTGGCAGCAGGACCACTCTACACTTTAAGTCAGGATTATCTTCCTAGATCAGGCATGGGGCAAACTGAGCCCTCCAGGTGGTTGGACTAGATGGCCTTTGGGGTTCCCTTCCAGCACTATGGTAGGTCTAGGACAGGCATGGGCCAACTTGGGCCTTCCCTCCAGGTATTTTGGACTTCCCACCATTCCTAACAACCTCCTTTCCTCCCTCAGCCACTATCGTCAAGCCATAACTATATTACTTCCACTGAGTGGGACTCTTTCCTGCAGTCCGAAATTGCATTGGCCTTTTTCGCTGCTGCGTGACACTTTAAGTGGCTGAGGGGGGGAAGGAATGGGGCTGGGGCTGTTAGGAATGGTGGGAGTTGAAGTCCAAAACACATGGAGGGAGGGCTCAAGTTGGCCCATGCCTGTCCTAGACCAACCATAGTTCTGGAAGGGAACCTCAAAGGCCATCTAGTCCAACCATCCACCTACCAGGCAAGGATTCTTCCATGGTGTGGTGCAGCTGGCAGGGAGTCAGCTTAGTTAAGATCACTACTGACCAAAAGGTCATGAGTTCGAAGCCAGCCCAGGTCGGAGTGAGCTTCCGACCAATTTGTGTAGCTTGCTGTCAACCTTTGCAGCCCGAAAGACAGTTGCATCTGTCAAGTAGAAAATTTAGGTACCACTTATGTGGGGAGGCTAATTTAACTAATTTACAAGGTCATAAAAATCTCCAGCAAGCATGCAAAGAATGAGGAAGTACTTCATCAGGGTCACAAATGGACGGTGAAGCAACAGCTCCCCTGGTGGTCAGAATACCCTCATGAAAAGCTGGAATGTTAAATAACCTCTGTGTGTCTGTCTATATATGTTGTGTGTCTATGGCATTGAATGTTTGCCATGTATATGTACATTGTAATCCGCCCTGAGTCCCCTTCGGGGTAAGAAGGGCAGAATATAAATACTGCAAATAAATGAATTAATTAATAATTATCCCATCCCTGCTGTAATTTACCAAATCAGTTGAAGGTGGGGTGCAAATGTTGGTTGGCATAGGATAGCCAGGGGCGGCTCGTCCATTACGCGAAATAAGCAGTCGCAGAACACTTTTTTTTGCCAGGGGCGCAGAGGCGCCTCTGTAAATGCCCCTTGACCGCCACTTGAGCAGCACCCCCTCAGCTCACAACAGCCCTAGCAGTCCGGGGGGAGCCTCAGCTTTCTTTCCTCGCTGCCGGGTGATCCTCTTCCCAAAGGGGCCGGGCCCTTGAGTCTCGCCTAGCCCCTCTCATTCCTGCTCCACCCGGCCATCGGGTACGCGAGCAGAGCCAGCGCTCAATCGTTCTCCGCGTTCGATCCCTTCCCCATGACCGGCTCCCTTTCCTGATCCCCCGCCGCTCTACCCGCCTCCTCTCCTCTCCCCAATCCGCGGGTGGGCCAAGGGGCGGAGCCGCCGCGCCTGGCCCGCTTCGGGTCCGGAGGCGTGTCTGAAGACCCCAGCGTGCGCACCAAAAGTTGCCTCTTCTCCTGACTTTCTCTTCAGCCATTGGGACCAAGAGAGAGAGAGAGAGAGAGAGAGTCCCTCCAGCTGGAGGTATCTCCCACCTCCGCTCCCTCCTTTGTTTTTGCGCCTACCTTCAGGAAAGGTGGGTATCTCCACCTCTGTCCCTCTCTCTCTGTCTCTCTCTCTCTCGGTCCCAATGGCTGAGGAGAAAGTCAGGAGAAGAGGTGACTTTTGGTGCACACGCCGGGGTCTTCAGGCACGCCTCCGGCCCCAAAGCGGGCCAGGCAAGGGAGCAAGTGCGGCAAGTGTAGTTACTGGGATGTATAGTTCACCTACAATCAAAGAGCATTCTGAACTCCACCAATGATGGAATTGAACCAAATATGGCACACACAACTCCCACGACAACAGAAAATATATATCAATGATTGGTTTGGGGGGGGGGCACTAAAATACTGTGCTTACCGTTCAAAATTACCTAGGGCTGCCTCTGAGGATAGCTGTCCTGTTGGGCATGCTGGTAAGAGGCCTTCCACACTTTCTATCAGGGTTGTGGACAGGAAAGTTTGGGTCCAACGATTTTGCTGCAAATTTCTTGCAGGAGAGCAAGAAAAGTGCAGTCTTTCTCAGCTTTTGTCTTAATTGACCCCAAGTGGGACCTCTTCTTTGCATTTCACTGAGGGTTCAGGTTCCATAGCATTGAGCCATAGCAGCTCAAAGTGGGGTCGACCCGCACTCATTCTGCAATGCAGATGCACCCTTGAGCACCTCAGCCATTTGAATGAGGAGAAGAAGAGGAAGAAGGCGCTCTGCACATGCTCAAGGGCATGGCGCTCTTCATGCTTTGGGAAGAAGAGCCAGACTCCCAGCCAGGACCAGGTTGGATGAACTCTGGGTGCCCCTTCATGGCCACTTGGCCCTTGGAAAGAGATGTGGGGTGGGGAGCAAAGGAGGCGACGCTCCGGCGGGGGAGGGGTTAATCTGCCCTTGCTGACGTCACAGGTGTCGGGGAGGGAGGGGGCTCTTTGGGGGTCTTTGTCAGCTGCACCATCCCTGCCTCTGACGCGCGGCCACCTTCCTCCTTTCCTCCCTCCCTCCCTTCCTCCCTCCTTCCTTCCTTCCCTCCTTCCTCCTCCTCCTCTCTGGAGGCGTCGGGAGCGCGCCCGGCTCTCCATCCTTCTCTCGCCTTCTCTCTCTTCTCTCTCTCTCTCTCGCTCTCTTTCTCCGGATCGAGGCCACTCCACCCAGGAACCAGGTGGGTCCCTCTTCCTCTCCATCCATCCCTTCCAGAGTCCGGCTCCATACGGGTCTGGAGCAGATGGAACAGGGTTGCGTGTCTGCAGGGTGGGAGGCGGAGGAGATGGGGGTCGCAGGGCTCTTGGGGGGCTGGAGGGGCTCCTTTCTGGTCCGCATTGCCCCCCTCCCTGCCCATCCCTGCTCCTCCCTATTTACAGAGAGAGAGGGGCGCAGCAGCATCAGCAGGGAAAAGCGGGCTAAAGGAGGGGTCCCCATGCCCATCTCTCCTTCAGGGACTGAGCACCTCATGAGGGAGGAGGATGCCCCTTCCTTCCTTCCTTCCTTCCTTCCTTCCTTCCTTCCTTCCTTCCTTCCTTCCTTCCTTCCTTCCTTCCTTCTCTTCCTTCCTTCCTCCTGTATTCATCCCTTTCTCTTTCTTCTCTTCCTTCTATCCCTTTCTTCCCCTTCCTTCCTTCCTTCCTCTCGGGGCCTCTCAATACGTTTTTTCGCTTTCTTCCCTTCCTTCCTTCCTCCTTCTTTCCTTTTCCTTCTCCTTTCCTTCTTTCTTCCTTCTTTTCTCCCCTTCTTTCTTCTTCTTTCCTTCTTTCCTTTTCCTCCTCTCCTCCTTTCCTTCTTCCTCTCTTCCTTCTTTTCCTCTTCCTCCTTCTCTTCCTTCCTTCCTCCTTTCTCTTTTTCTCTTCCCTTCCTTTTTCCTCTTTCTTCTCCCTCCCTCTCTTTCTTTCCTTCTCCCCTCGCTTCCTGCCTGCCTTTGTGAAGATGAAGCAGCTGATCCAAGAGGGCTACGTTGTCCCATCCCTCCTCACCCCTCTGCCTTCTGTCCTTCCCTCTCTCTTCCCTTCCTTCCTTCGCTTTTTCCCACATTCACAGCTTCCTGCATTTGGCCTCCTTGCTGCGCGCTCTCTTCCTTTTTTCCTTCCCTTCCTTCCTTCCTGCATTCTTTCCTTCCTTTCCTCCCTCTCTCCTTTCTTCCTTTCCTTTCCTCCCCTTCCCTTCCTTCCCACATTTCTCCCTCCTTTCCTTCCTTCCTGCATTCCTTCCTGCCTGCCTGCATTCTTTCCTTCCTTTTCCTTCTTTCCTTCCCTCCCTCTCTTCCCCTTCCTTCCTTCCTTCCCACATTCCTTCCTTCTTTCCTTCCTTCCTTCCCTCCCTCCTTTCTTCCTTTCCTTCCTTTCTTTCTTCTTTCCTTCCTTTTCCTTCCTTCCCTCTCTCCTTTCTTCCTTTCCTTTCCTTCTTTCCTGCATTCCTTCCTTCCTTTTCCCAGGATCTCTGCCTCACTTTCTCCTGTCTGTGAAATGGGTGGAGTCAACTGGGCAGTCTCTTCGTCCGCTCTCTCCCCTCCTTCTCCCAATTATTTTAGATTATTAGATGCCACCAGGTTGCCCTCCCCAAGTCGTCTGGAGGGACAAACAGCCCCTTAGCAAACCTGAGAAGTGTCCCCCTCCCTTTCCTCCAAGGTTTTCTGTGAGAAGTTCTCCTCTCCTTGCAGACCCCTGTCTGCCCTGCTTTTGGGAAGGGTGCTGATTGCAAGCTTTCATGTGTGCCGTGAAGCCAGGCTGGTCGAAGACCCCTCTGCCCCATGTGGACGCATGCCATTTGCCAGGGGCTCTTTGGGCCAGAATCGAGACCTTCCTCCCCCACCCTTTTGCCCTGGCCAGGGCTGCCTCCCTTTGCCGCCTGACCTTGGTCCAAACAAAGGTCAACGTCTCCAGGGACAGGGATCAATCACAGCCTTGGAATCGTATCAGTGACCGCCTTATCATCTTTCAGACTGATTATCTGTACACTTACAACCTGATTATTGATAATAATAGCAGCCTCATTAGCACTAATAGCTTTTCCAATCGCTCCTGTAAGCATAAAGTCCAGCCTGGTCTTCCTCTATGCCACCGGGCCTCCTTTTGAACCTTCCTTCCTTTGCTCACACCACAAAATAACCAATGCAGGTGGGAAGCAATGGGATGGGAAGCTGTTTCCTTTTCCCTGGCTCTCAGAGGGTTCGGGTTGTCCATTCCTGGGCAGAAGACCAAAGCAAGGGCCCTGTCCCTTGTGGGCCATGCTCTCCAACCTTGGTAGACCATCTCCTTGGGATGGATCTTTGCTGCTGAACAAGTGGTGGGATTTCTGTTTGGGAGGAGGATAATTATAGACACTGCAGTGGTTGCTCCTCCATTGGACTCCCTGCGGAGTGTGCCTCGGTTGTGTGTGTGCAGACTCATTAAGAAAGGGAAGAAAACAAACCCAGACCTTCGCTGCCGCCGCCGTTGCTTCCTCCTCCAAGCCCCTCCCGGGGTTGATTTAGGTCACTCATTGATGGAATTTGGAACAAGGCATTCCAACAGCTCCCTCTTCTTGCCATCTCTCCGAAATAGGGGCAGAACGGGGGCTTCTTTTATCTGGCACCAAATCCGGACCCCAAGTTGGTTGTTGCAACCTGGAAGTCTCCTTTATAGACCAATAGGACAAGGAAGGAGTATATCTTGCTTTTCCTTGAAGCCTCCAAGTGTGGCGGTCCATTTTTCTAATTGATTCCACGTTGTCCCCAAAATGCATTCCCAAACTAGAAGCGGACTTCTCTTTTCTGTGTGGGGGGCTTTTGGCCTTTTGGAAGCACATTCTACAGATTTTGGAAAGTGCCATGGCAAAAATAGAATTGTCAAAGGCTTTCATGGTTGGAATCACTGGTGTGCGGTGAGTTTTTTGGGCTGTACAACTATGTTCCAGAAGCTTTCTCCCCTGATGTTTCACCCACATCGGTAGTAGGCACCCTCAAAGGTGGAGCCCCCAGTGGCACAATGGGTTAAACCCTTGTGCCGGCAGGACTGAAGACTGACAGGTTGGAGGTTCAAATCTGGGGAGAGCACAGATGAGCTCCCTTTGTCCGCTCCAGCTCCCCATGCGGGGACATGTGAGAAGCCTTCCACAAGGATGGTAAAACATCAAAACATCTGGGCGTCTCCTGGACAATGTCCTTGCAGACGGCCAATTCTCTCACACCAGATGCAACTTGCAGTTTCTCGAGTAATTCCTGACATGGAAAAAAATCCTCAGAGGTTGAGGAAAGCTAGGCTTTGAAGCTGCAAGGCCATTCAATGCTAATCAAGGTGGCCAGCTGCAACATTCACACTTGTTTCAAACAGACAATAGTTCTTTCTCCCACCCTGGATGGGAGACTTCACTTGACTAGTTTCCAACAGACCTCAAAACCTCTGAGCATGCTTGCCACAGATGTGGGTGAAACGTCAGGAGAGAATGCTTCTGGAACATGGCCATACAACCCGGAAAACTCGCAGCAACCCAGAAATAAAATTGGCCCCTAGACCTCCATCTTCCCATTGGATGCAGTGTTACAATGAACTGAGAAAGAGAGGCATCCCATCCTTGGAACCAGCTCTACAACCCTTTCGATATGAATAGATTGCAATGGTTTTCATTGCCTTGTCCCTCCCTTCTGGCCTTCTGACTGAGCAGGCCAAGTTTCACAATGCAGGAGGGATGCAGGAGTAGGAATGGATGGAGAAAGGGGCTGCCTTCATCAAAGGAAGGCAGGTAGGAAGCCTTTCACCTTCATGTGGTTTGCCAGTGGCAAAAGGGAGTGCACGAGGAGCTGGAGCTGGAAAGGCACAGCTGGAAGGCAAGGCAGCTTAAGGAGGATTTCGGCAAGCTGGAGCCTGCGTTCAAAGCGCCTGGGAGTCAAGCCTTTGAAGAACTAAGGAGGGCACCGGGCAGCTTTACCCTGGAGAAGACATATGATGGCAAAGTGCTATGATAGGCATCATGGGATCTTTAAATAAACATCTCTGCACATCTGAAGGGCTGTCATCACATCCAAGATGGAGCAGCTTTTTTTGCAAAGAAGATGGAGAGGTGGTATGATAGCTCCAGTCTCCAAAAATCCAAAGTCCTGCTTTGTCTATAACGGATTTCATAGCCATGGATTTGAGAAAATATGTTTTGCAGAAATAGAAGCAAACTCCTCAGAAGATGAAGGACCACAGGGCTGTGGAAAACATGGAATCTGTCCCAATCACTGGATCATTGAGTTACATTGAGTCCATCTTCTCACTGTGGCCCTTGGGTAGACTTTGGGTGGTCCATGGTCCACCAGCCCCATAAGCTCCCTTGACCATCTAGAACAGTGTTTCTCAACCTGAAGGTCAGGACCCCTTGGGAGGAACGCAAGGTGGGGGGGGGGGTTCAGAGCAGTCACCAAAGACCATCAGAAAACATATTTCTTATGGTCTCAGGTGCTCCTTTGGCTGAGAAGGCTGAAGATCTCTACACTTGACCTTCTCTTCACCTTTGGAAACAGACGGCGAATCCTCCCACCAAAAGCCCTCCTCTGTTGCAATTGGCTGGCCTCTCAGCTGGCCTCTCAGCCAAGGGGCGAGCTGTTTCTGAGACAAGTTCTATGTCGCAGGTTTACTAGCTCCATCACCAGTTTGGTACACAGTGCTCTTGGAGTGTTGGTGAACTATAACTCCCAGAATTCAAAAACAGCTCCCTCCCCACCCCACCAGTATGCAATGTTGGCATTGTGTAGGTAGTGTGCCAAGTTTGGTGCAGATTCATTGTGGGTTGAGTTCAAAATGCTCTTTGATTGTAAGTGAACTATAAATCCCAGCAACAACAACTCCCAGATATCAAGTTCTTATTTTCCCCAAACTCCACCAGTGTTCACGGTTGGACATATTGAGGATTCATGCTAAGTTTTGTCCAGATCCATCACTGTTTGAGTGCATGGCGCTCTCTGGATGTAGGTGAACTACAACTCCAAAATTTAAGGTCAAGCCCACCAAACCCTTCCAATATTTTCTGTTGGTCATGAGAGTTTTGTGTGCCAAGTTTGGTTCAATTCCATTGTTGGTGGAATTCAGAATGCTCTTTGATTGTAGGTGAACCATAAATCCCAGCAACTACAACTCCCAAATGTCAAGATCTTATTTTCCCCAAACTCCACCAGTGTTCACATTTGGGCATATTGAGGATCCATGCCAAGTT